AACCCAGGAAGACAGAACTTGGTAGCTGATGCTTTGTCAAGGTAGATGTCATTGGCTGTGATTTCTCAGATTCAACTTCCAGCATTTGATCAGTGGGAGGCTGAAGTGCAGCAAGATCCCAGACTTAAAACCATTATACAAGACCTCATTATTAATCCACCAGCTCATCAAGAATTTACCTTAAGGGAAGGTAGGTTGTTTTATAAAGATCGATTGGTGTTATCTAAAGCTTCCAAATTAATACCCACCTTGCTTCAGGAATTTCATGATTCGAACATGGGAGGACACTCAGGTTATTTCAGACGCATAAAAGGATTGCTAGTCTCATTTACTGGGAAGGAATGAAGCGGACAATAAAAGAGTATGTGGCTGCTTGTAGTGTTTGTTAACAGAATAAAGCCTAGAACCTTTCTCCAGCAGGCTGTTATAACTTCTTCCTATTCCCGGTTGTGTGTGGTCTGATGTATCCATTGATTTTGTTGGGGGGCTGCCAAGGGCATTTGGTTTAGATACAATATTTGTAGTGGTTGATCGTCTTACAAAATATGCACATTTTTTACCCTTAAGCAATCCTTATACAGCAAAAGATGTGGCATAAATATTTGTCAAGGAGGTAGTACGACTTCACAGATTTCCAATGACTATTGTGTCTGACAGAGACAGGGTTTTCCTAAGTTCATTTTGGTTTGAATTGTTTAAGAGTGTTGGTACCAAGTGGCACTATACTACAACTTATCACCCACAAACTAATGGGCAAACTAAAATGGTTAACCGTTTCCTGGTGACTTACGTAAGGTGTTTTTGCAGCCCAAAACCCAAGCACTGGCCTAAATATATTCGTTGGGCAAAATTATGGTATAACACGACTTATAAGGATGCAACTGGCATGACTCGTGTATGGTTATGATCCCCCTACCATATTCAGAAGTACACATTTTGTTCCAGCTGTTGATGTTGTTTCCCAGTTACTATATGAGCATGATACAATTTTGAATGACCTCCACCAACATCTTGTATTGGCGCAAAACCAAATGAAAGTGCAAGCAAACCAGCATAAGAGAGATTTGCAATTTCAGGTTGGGGACTTAGTGTATTTGAAGTTACAGCCTTATAGGCTCAAGACTATAGCAAGAAGGGTGAATGAAAAGTTGAGTCCTCATTATTATGGACCCTATAAAATCCTAGAATGTGTTGGGGATGCAGCTTATAAGCTTCAGCTTCCGGATGATTGCAAAGTTCATCCGGTATTCCATGTTTCCTTATTAAAAAGCGCAATTTCTCCTCGGCCAAATTCTCAACCCTTACCTACATAATTCACTGAAGAATAGGAGTTGAAGGTAGCACTAGAAGCTTTACTGCAGTGGCCTCGTTCAAACACAGGGAACTTGGAGGTCTTGATCAAGTGGTTTAATCTCCCATAATTTGAAAATACATGAGAGAATTTTACTGTTATCAACAATCAGTTTCCCAATTTTCACCTTGAGGACAAGGTGCTTAAAATGGGAAGGAGTATTGATACGGACCAGCATATGAAAGTGTATAAGAGGGATAAAAAAGGAGGATTTGGGCCAGGCCCATTGCTGAATTAGCAAAGGATTCCAAAGTGACCCCCAACAGAATGCATAGGTGGCAGAAGTTGGTTATAAGTGGTGTAAGGGGGAGGAGAGTGAGCATTGGGAAGTCTAGGCTAGAACTGGAACCTTGGAAGAGAGTAGAGCCTCTCTAATTGCTCTACACTATCATTTCCCTTTTACTGTAATTTTCCCTTTTCGGCATTACAATTTTCACAAGTAATTGTAGACTCTTCCTTTATTGTAATTCTGTTTCTTTAAGCTTGAACCATACCTTGTAACTTTTTGTCATTAAGGGGGAGTTTGGTAGAGATTTTTTTTTTTTACCAGGTAAATGTAATAACCAGGAATATGATAGGAAAGTGAGTTTGGTAGGAAAGTTAAAAAAAAAATTATTTGGTTAGACAAAATTTCACTAGAAAAATTGGATTAAATCTTGTGAGTCTTTGTTTCATTTCCCTAGTTTTCTGCAAATACCACTTCGCAAATGGTAAACGTCAACAGTACAACATCTCCCTAGTTTTATTTCATACTGATAAAACCCTTTACACTACCTGTTTGAACTTGGAAGAGTTTTATCAGTATGTAATAACTATATTTTAAAAATTTACTAAATAAAATTTTTAATATAAAAAACAGATAAAAACTTGAAAAATTAATGAGAAGAAAATAATGCATATGATATATAAAAATGGTAACAGTGTAGTGCTTTGGTTAGTCTTAATGTTAGCTAAACTTCAGAATGCCTGTTATTTATTTTAATTCTGAATCTAGTGTCCAGTGTATTTTGCATTTACGGAAGAAGAAAAAAAACGTTCAAGTTGTCATTCACTGCATTTTGTAAAATACGGGAAACTTCAGAAGTCAAGATCAACAAGAATCTTTGCAAAAATCTGAGATTTGAGGCATATGAACTTTCAAAGCCTCCAATGCAATCAAAAGTTGTTCTAATTTCATTTGCATTCTCAACAGACATTTTTTTGGTAGCTAATGCATTGTATTCCATGGAGACTTATCTCACGAGTAGATGAATTATTAGAGCTTAAGCTAAGACTTGATGGTGTTCAAAAGAACTAGGATATTAAACTCATTTGTCTCCTACATTCTCTACCTCTTATTCTGCTTGCCAAAAAACCAATGAGTGAAATTAAGGTGGATGGTACAATAGCGTCCCACATCAACAGGAACATCAAATAAAAGGGTCTTTATAATTTCTTCTCAAGAACCACCATAGAACCTATAAACATCATGTATAAATCTTTCTTTTCTCGATATCTTTCCATTTGTTTAAAAAAATGACCTCTATAATACATTTTCCTGTCATAAACTCAAGTAGATGATTTGCAAAAACTTTCAATAACTCTCACAACTTCATAGTAATATGCTTTAAATAAAAGTATCAACAATTTTACAACTAAATTTGAGCTCAGGGTTAATGAGTAGATTGTATCAAATATTTTAGCTGATCCAATGCACACGAGGGTCTACAATAGATGTGAATAAATACTTCTCCCTTCACTTATATTCTTCACTCTTAAATTATACTACTCATACTTTATCAGCCACTGAATAACTGAACCCACTGATTAAATGAAAACATAGTGATAACTCTTTATCAGAAGAATTATTCACTGCTATTTATGCCTCATTTCTAGTGTGTTTTGATTTAATTTGGGTTGTGAGACTTGTATTTGGTTGTTATTGTAGAATATTGAAGGCCCAAAAGTCCAAGTCCAAAAAAAGCCAACACATAGAGCATGGCATACAAAAATCAGCCCACGTCAGTTACCCAATGCAAGGGTAGAAATGTAAATGAAAATCAAGGCTGAGTAAAAGAAAGAGCAGTGATCGTAATAAACTAAATTCACTCCAAATCATGCTCAACCAAACCCTAGCCATTCTTAATCTTTGGTTTATTGAGTCACCCAACCTCACTTGTCTCTGAGTGTGTAAAAGCATTGAGCCACAAAACCTTTTGGTGTGCTAATTCTCACCCATATAGATCAACCAACCAGCCACTTCATTGAAAAAAATAGAAAAGGAGAAAATACATAATCTTTAGCATGAGGTTGTTATGCGATTACGGATTGTTGCAAGGTGCAGAGCGATTGTGGAGTGAGAAAGTACAGATTCGTTGGGTAATCTAAGCATGAGAGAAGAGACACGTGGACGAGGCAGATGAGCTCACATAACTGATGCATGCAGAGGAGTTGATATAAAAGGAGCAAAGGACCTCTCCTCTGGGGTCGGCGGCTTCTTCCTCTTTTTCATTTCTCTTTTCCATTTTTCTTTAGTTTTATTTTTACGTTTCTAGTACTGTAAGTAGATGCTATTTTGTTTTGATTAGAACTTGTCAACACAGTACCGAGGCTATTATGGTGAATAGGACTCGGGCTGTGATTTAATTTTTCTGCACTTTATTTTCTTTGTAATTTTCATTTCGTTTGCTGATTTTTGTAACTCAACCCTTATGGGTATGAGCTAAACCTTCCAAGAGTTGGGTTGAAAGAGTACCCAGAGCTCATTTGTTATTAGTTGATGTTTTAAAGTTTAAAGTGTTGTTTTCCAGTTTGTTTACTGTGTATTTGTTATGCTGAGTTTATTATGTGATGGTCACACATAGGCTACTCCTAGTGATGTGAAATTATTGGGAAATAATCCATATTAGACCCCAATGTAAGCACATGGAAAGTTGAGAGAGAGATCTCTCAATGGATATGGCTCCAGGGATGAAGTTACCCCCATGTAACTTAAAGAAATGGTGTTTCAAGGTCTTGTGATAAGAGTGACATAGGGATATGCCATCTATTGTTATCGGAAGAAAACTGTTGTTGGGAAACAATGGTTATTTTACTATTTTCGTTACGCTGGAAGCAATGTCTATTTTCTGTCAAAGCATCCTAATGGCAAATGAGGGAAGGAGACATTGACACCCAACTTGTTTTCAAACACTGTTTTTAAAACCAATATTTTTGTCATTTTGTATTTTCGTCTAAACCACAAGTTTAATTTTCTGTTTTAAAACTTAAAGGAAAATCATAAAAAAAAAATTGCAATGCTTCCATTTAATTAACTTTCGAGTCAGTAGTTCAAAACTCTTTCACCAACTAAAGTTCTATTTTAAAAAAAGAAAATCCCCACAAAAATATTTTCCTCGCACTTAGCTTAGAATAACAGTAATTTAATTTGATTTTATTTTATTTTATTTTTGTTCTGATTAGCAATTACAATTTTTTTTCAAAGTAAAAAACGTCAAAGATCCTTGTGGGAACGATAATTGGGACTCACAAAAGCCCTATATTACTTGTTGTCGCGTATACTTGCGCGCTTACTTGCATAACTGTTTGCAAGGCAACACATAGTTATGACATATTTAGCTAAAACTATAAAAAGAAACTTAAACAGTTTTATTGATTAGCTAGTTAGGGACTTACATTTTCCATTAAATACCTAACATAAACAAAAGTACAAGAGGGTAGTGGCGGCATTCTACATTATCAACGCTCATACAATACCCCCCGCCTCATAAACCAGCATAGTTAGAAAGGAGAGAAGCAGAATTTACACACATTGAAGAACTCTTAAGAGTCAGGTTGCTCAGACTTCAATGGTGCACCTGAAGATGATGCACAACTTCCATTCGGCAGATAGAGGCTGTTTGCAACCATAGTGTCACTAACCAAGCCCGCATCAACTTCATCAAAATTGAGGGAACCTCTAACCTTCCGGTTACTAAATAGAACCAGACAAAATAAGGACATCACATTTTTGGTAATATAAATAAATTTCAAAAGTTAAGACATAAAGAAAAGCATACCCATTCAAACGGTTATTGATGGCAGTCAGGTCTTTTGAAGGGCTCTGATATGCATGAGTGCTCTCCCCAACACATGCATAATAGCTTTTTGAGCTATGTGATATTAGAGCATCCATCTGTGCACATCACCAATGAATACACTTATTTTTCCATACAATATAGGGTGCGAGGCAAACATCATAGACCAAGTAAAAAAGCATTACATTCAGTCTGTTAACAGGCTCTATATCATGTTTTCAAATTTCATTGTCTTCATAATTGCACTTCATGCTTATTCAATCTTGTAGCTTAGCAAAAAGCCACTACTATCTAGTAGCAAGTGTTTCTTAGAAAGATAATCCCCCAAAATTCTCAGCATATAAATGGAAAAAAAATGAGTTGATTTGGCACATATTCCGTCTGGTATCAAGCATTTCATGAGCTAATTAAAACTCACATAAGAGTTACAGATCCTTGATTTCTACAACATAGGGAAAATGCTATGGACCAAGCCAGAAATATATGCTGTTGTAGGTTGGAGTTCATTAAGTGGGACAAGGGTTCGAAATTGTACATGTAACTTGAACCAGGTTTCTATAGGAGTGGCAGAATCAATGCCAAAAGTTAAATATATTGTTACAGCATCATGTAATTTTGACAAAGATCCTTAATAAAGATAGGTTTCATATCAGCAAGCATCCATTACAGTGCTTTAATCCTCCAAGAAAAAGATATTGTTCCCTTAGCAATAGTTTTCTAGATGAAAAAATCACATCAGTTTGCAAATTACAAAATATGGTCATCTGTGAAAAAAAAATGAACACGAACTTTGCAATAATAATTTAATAACATTCCATTAACTGCACAACAATTATAGTCCTCACACGCTTCTTCCTTTTCCAGCACAATGTCATTAGACTGCTATGCACTAACTAGTAATAGAAAATGGGAAATAAAATAGTCCAAAGAAGAAAGACAAACAAATACACTAGTACCTTAGATGATCGTAATGGAGAGACATATACATTGTGTGTGGCAGACACCTTTTTTGGAGACATATCAGGTAGGCTTGGGAAAGGTGATATTTTAGGAGACCCGGGACATTGTGCTAAATGGCCTTAAAAGAGAAAAACATGCAAGTCAATGGATTGCAAAACAGGCATAGCAATGGGAGTCAGGTATACAAAATAACTTAGCAAATAAGCAAGTACCGTCACTTTTATTATTAACTTCAGGTATCTGGTCCCTTTTCATAGTTGTTCCACCAGGGCCAAGTTCAACAAGCAGCGGCTTTACAGAAGGAATGAATATTTCATTGTAAAATGTAATGATATCAACATGTTCCTGTCCTGTTCTCTGTTTTCATTCAGATCATTTATAAGAGATCAAAACTCTCAGAAAAGTTTAGTATTAAATTTGGACCCTTGGTTACATACCCCATTACGCCGTGACAATGACCAATCAACAAATACACTACGGAAAACTTGTGGTTTGCATTGCGGTTGCTTTCTATAGTTGTATATGATCTCCCTGAAAGTTAGGTTCAGTTGTGAAATCTGCAGAACAGAATAGAATGAGAAAAAGGTAATAACAGAAGAACACAGTACACTCTTTTAAGTTTCTAAAACTAAAGAGAAACCTTCGCAACTCCATAGAAGCAACACAAAATGATTTGGTCAATATGGCGGTTGAAGAAGAGAGATGTCCATTGATTTAGGATTCGCTGGAAAAGACAGAACACATTCTCCTTTATTTGTGCAGATAATTGTAGCCTTTCAACCATGCCACTTATTCTGACTGCTCCCAACTTAATGATCTAGGAAACACAGTAATAAACAAGCTATAAAACTTAAAAGGACTTAGTGAAGTGACAAAATCATAAAATCTTAAATAAACACATGAACCAGAACAGCTGCCCTATCACATGAAGTTGCTCAAATGGGAGTGGTGTAGCAATCCAATTCCAAAAGGCAACTTCAATCCTCAATATAAAAGATAAACACATCTAGTAGTTCTTGAAATCACATTAAGGGTCACAAAGTTGGGACTTCAAAATAACACGAACAAATTGGGTGTACATACATACACAGTTGCACACACAGTAGTTACCTTATCAACAACTATGTTAAATGTAGCTTGCAAGTCCTTTTTCACAATTAAGTTGATATAACAACATACCTTGCTGAAAAAGATGTTGATCCCGGTTTCTGCACATGTTTCCCCTCCACCTCCTGGATTTGGTTTAGTTGGACTGCAGGGAACAAACATTCAAAGTAAAGCACCAAGAGAAGACAACAGTAAACTGGTGAAAAGTTGAAATAATACAAATTTACATTGATAGCTACTGCTCGACTCATCCAAGTTATACCTGGCAAATGCTGACTGCAAAGGAGGTGGGGGTAGCCTTGACTTAAGGTTGCTGAAGGGAAGAAGCCGATCTTTCGCTGGTGAATTAAAACAATTTCTCTCCATTAACACATTTCGATATTCAGAATGCTTTGGTGATCTGGTATCCCCATTCTGAGCTGTAAAATCAATGCATTGATAGGATATGTTACTGAAGTTGAAAAATATGTATTTCCAATATTTATTCTTTGAGAAAGTGGTAGGTAGGGAAGATGGAGGAACAATTTTGTCCATCGTAATAGAATACCACGACAACAACTCTAAGGAATGATGAACTATGAATTATATGAAAACTGAGAAAACATGACTTAAAAATCAAAAAGAGAACCATTACTTGGTGAAGTCTCAATCCTAGGCAAACACGGCACAGGAGGCAGCCCTCCACAAGAAAAGCTCGTATGCATTGCAATTTCATCCAATGATGGCATTGGTTCAGCTAGCAGTTTAAGACGGTTTATTTCTGCAGAAAGCGCAGGTCTAGCAACTGCCAAAGAATTATACATCGAGGAACCCTTTTCCCATACCATGCTCTCCAAGAGTCGTTCTTCCAATGAATTCAGATGTCGCCTCAATTCTCTTGGGAGGGATTCTTCATGTCTGATGAAACTTTCAATCACCTTGCTAAGATCAAAAGCCGTAATTCCAGTCCTCTCCAGTACTGCAGGGAACAACATTGTAACAGTCTTATGAGTTGCCAGGACTAATTCTGCAGAACATGCAAGCATACACCGATGGAACCTCTCATTAGTTAGAAGCGAGGTTAAATTAGTTGCATGAAGTACTTGGGCTTCTGCTCTACACATTGCTTCCAATACCCTAAAGTATAACTTCATTGCTTCCAATCTTCGTTGTTCCGCCCATATATTGTCCATGAGGTTTGCACTTTGCAGGCTTCCAGTTACACATCGTTCTCCAAGAGGACTACTAGGAAATATAGCCTGCAATATAATCTGCGCTCTGCGCACCACATCACTTGTAACATCCCTGTCACACGATGTCAAGAATCTCTCCAGCTCTTGTGAGGGCCATGATGCAAGTGGACAAATGACAGTACGAAGCCACTTTGCAGTAGTCATTGCAGTGCTTACAGGGGTGGCTGCCATCTTTGAATTTGCAGCACCCAGAATGCCATTAGCATGGGATGCAGGAGAACGGTGAGGTGAGAGGGGACTTGTAATAGTTTTAGCAGGTGATGCCATCGAATCAAATTTCCTCTACAGAGCACAATAATATATAAACTTAAGGTATTATCACACACAAGGTAGAACTAAATTTTAGGACCACTTTTCCAATAAACATACCTTTACACCACTTGCTGAAACAGAACCTCCAGACAAGCTTCCTGAAGCTAACAGGCTGTCGTCTTCATTAATGAATAACCTCTCATCCAGTTCACCCTTGTTGCGAATCATGTAATCATAATCTTTTTCTAAGATATGTAAACTTGGTGGCAAAGATGATTCCTCTATCAGATCTTTAAAAAAAATCAAACCATCTACAAAGAAAGGAATAATAAACATCAGTTAAAGAACAATGTATCCCTGATGCATAAATAATCAATAACACAAGGAAAACGAACCTCTATCAAAATTCTCTAGGTTTTCAGTTTCGCATTCAGATGCCAAACAGGGCTGCTTCTTCAATATATATGCTATTAAATTATTGGCTTTCTCCATGGTTTTCTTCAACTCATCTTCTGAAGTATTATAGATGTTGCAGAGTGATGCAAGGAGGTCCACACCTTTGTTACTCTTCTTAACTGAAATAAATTTTGGTGGAATTAGAACAAATGCACTTTTAAATCCATCACCTAAACAGGGAATTGTGTGTGGACCAGATTAAGCATGCATGCATGTCAAAGGGAGAAGAGGATTACCAAAGCGAGAATGAAAGAGAACAAGAATAATTTAAACACAACGCAAAGAGGATTTACCAAAGCGTGAAGAATCATGAATGTTGAAATTCCGAAAACGAGCAGGAACATGAATAATTAAGATAGCCTGTAACAGATTGATAGGCATCAACCAAGGAAGATACGAGAATTAAGAAGAGAACAGTATAAGTCTTCCATTAACAACCCTAAAAAAGTATCGCTACATAAAGATTGTTAAACAAACAGAGACAGATTACAAGAAATGAAGAGCCAACACATGAAAACAGAAGAAAACAAAGATATTCCAAAGTAATTTGAGAGGCTCAGGGGTCTCTCCCAATACCCAAAAGGATCCCAATACTTCCCAGAGGTGATTCCTCTCACTGCACCACTTTCTTTTATAACAGCTACATAGTCTTCACGTTGCCCACACTGCCTAGCACATTTTCTCCCCATTCTGCTAGTAATTATCAAAAGGCACAATTCATGAATATTCCATCCTAACTTCCTTATTGCTGACTCAGCCCAATTGCTTTTCCTAAATTGTCCTTAAGGATGGTATCATATCACATACACCCAGCAAATAAGAAATTGTTTCCTTCATTCTCACTGCACCACTTTCTTTTGTAACAACTACATAGTCTTCACGTTGCCCATGCTGCCTAGCACATTTTCTCCCCATTCTGTTAGTAATTATCAAATGGCACAATTCATGAATATTCCATCCTAACTTCCTTATTGCTGACTCAGCCCAATTGCTTTTCCTAAATTGCCCTTAAGGGTGGTATTGTATCATAGATACACCCAGCAAATAAGAAATTGTTTCCTTCATTCTCACTGCACCATTTTCTTTTATAACAATCACTTAGTCTTCACGTTGCCCATGCTGCCTAGCACATTTTCTCCCCATTTTGTTAGTAATTATCAAATGGCACAATTCATAAATATTCCATCCTAACTGCCTTATTGCTGACTCAGCCCAATTGCTTTTCCTAAATTTTACCCTTAAGGATGGTATCGTATCACAGATATACCCAGCAAATAACAAACTGTTTCCTTCATCCCCCCCCCCCAACCCCAAAAAAAAAAACCAAAAAAAGAGCAAATATTACAAGTAAAAAGAATAGACTAACTGAATATATTTAAAATAAACATATAATGAAAGTCCTGAAACAAGTATTAAATAAAAATTTTCAAGTGTCCAAACTTCCAACCATTCTCTTCAGACTATTCTATGTTCAAAAGAAAAAGATATGAAACATCTACATGGAAACGCCAATAAAGGAAAAGAGTGTTATAAGAATCTCACCAAGATCGAAATTAAACCATTTGTGCAAGTCACCAAGTCTTTGAAGCGGCTGAAAGCATGTACACGAAGTGCCAAAAAAAGTAACCATCCAAAGCGATGGTATTCAGATGCATGAGCAGTGACAGATGAGCTTTTTTCAACATTTGCATCAGTTGCCACGAAGAACTCTTCAAATACACGTTTATAGTACCTGGCACAATCAAACTTATAAGGTGTCATGTCATCTCATGTAGGCAAGCTGCACTGTACACGATAATCAAAGCAAACAACCTTATACAGAAAAACCAGGAATTCTTTGCATTAAGGAACGCAAAGTCTGAGAGATAACTAAAAGATACCGTCATGCATCCTCTTTCCTGGATCGTTAAAAAATGAACAATAGTATGAAATATTGGACCATGGTTGTTATTCCAAATAAAGCATTAGGTCTTTGATAGGCTAACTAAAAAATCTTAGTCGTCATACATTTCACATTTTGACTAGTCCATTACCACCTCATATTGTTTGTACCAGCTTAAGTGAACAACCTCTATTATACACACATTATCATCCTCCATCAAAGCATTATATCTCAAGTAAGTCTTTTTTGTGATAAAATACATCTCATTGAAGATACTACCATGATATTAAACCAAAAAAAACCACTCCCCGTTAAACCCAACTAGCGAGTGTAGAGTGGAGGAAATCCTTGTACGCAGCCTTACCCTTGCATAATTGCAAAGAGGCTGTTTCCTGGATTCGAACCCATGACCTTTCAGTCATGACATTAATAAAATGAAATACCAGCAAATTAATAGACACATTAGGCAGTGTGAACTTCACTACCAACAATCTTCAACAACTACCCTAAGAACAGAATGTGTGATTTAGGTTGTGAGATAGGGCACCATTCAGAAAATCTAAAAGCTGGAGGATTCATGGGACCATGCAACTGTCTAGGGAAAATAATACTTCCTAGAATAGCACATTTTAGGTTTTGCTTAATTATTACAGAAAAGTAGCTTTTAATTGAAAAACTGTCTTGAGCATTCTCATTATAAGAATTTTTTTTAACACGAAATATGCTAATCCAAACACAGACTTAATCTTTTGGTAATTTAAGTACACATCCTAAGGAAAAATATAAAGTTATATTAGTTTAATATCATAAGAGGGTAAGACTGTATAATACTAAAGACAAAATTATGTGATATACATAGTGAAGAGAAATCTCAACGATGCCACAAATTAATGAATAATTCATCTGTCATTTAAGACATTAATCAAAAAATGGACATAAATAGTGGGCTACTCACTTGCTAAGAATCTTCAAGTGAATAGCATTGGCGTGCATCTCCTTTGCCTGGTATAGAAATAGCAGCATAAAGAATGGCTTAATAGAAAACTGTTTCTAATGATTTAAGAGGGAAAGAGAGAAACCACCACCCATGCACACATGAAACATAAACTTTGCAAAAATGTAATCATGGTTCTCTGCTTAGTCAATACCTCAAGCCTGCTTTCCCAATCTGTGCCATATAGATTACTTAAAATAGGACCAGCCTTAACAACAAACTGAGGAAGTTCTTTAAAAAAATCTCCAATGCTGTTGAATGCAAGATAAATGTTGACAGTGAATAATAGAACAAAATACAAACTTAAAAACTAGAAAAAAATAAAAAGTCAGTTAAATACTTAAGCTTAGCTGCCCTCAATATACGGCACAAGGTAAGCCCAGTGCTCTCAGTCTCTTCATTCTCACTCTCCTCAACTTTCTGAGTCAATCTCTTTACAGAGTATAAAATAAAAGCAAACCAATACCGCTCTGCTTCTTCAGACTGGAAAAGAATTACACAACCTCATGATTTCAAATAAAAAACTTTACTAGAAGTTATATTTTGCACAAAAGAATAGCGTTCATATGTACCGTTCCATTCCCCATTGCCGAAATATTTGTCAGTAGAAGATGCTTGGTTTCTCCAAACAGATTAATTGCTTCTTTACAGCTTTTCTCTTCCAATGCTAGCCCATTCTGTCAACAAAAAAAGAAAAACACATCAATGTAGAATTTAACAGCTAAAGAATCTCAATTTAAACCTCAGTAAATCTGCCTAAATGCAAACTAAAACTATATATGGACATTTCTCTGATTTAAATGTCTAACGTCTAATTTAATTATATACTCCCTAATAGTTGCCATACCTGTACCGGGTATGTATTCCATTCAGTACTTATTGGGTATGCATGGTTACATACCCAATACTCACCTATCTCCAAAGTACAAATCAGTCCATGCATAACACCAAATTTTGTTGCAAAGTTATTTGGTTTGTTAATAAATGAAACAAACTGCTACTTTACTCCCTTCAAAATCTGTGCCTTCTTTAAATATTTTTGCTTACTTGAGTTAAAGGGTTATAAAAATTGTATTTATATTATGATTTTCACACTTCACTGTTTGTTTTATATTTCTATATGATATATCCTCACATAACCGTACTCCTCAGGCACAGCCGATCCCTGGCAGTTTCAAGTCCATCACGTGTGGAGGCTCATCCGGCCAACCCTGCCATTGCAGTTACTCCCAGACAGTGTGTCGTGACCTCCTCTCTCTTTATTTTCAAAAAATTTGTCGTCACTCCATATGCGTACCCCGCACATATATACAAACACACTTTCTGGTACAAATCAATCATGCATAAGTAACTGATGTCACAAGAACAGGGAGTAACACAAAATCTTTCTTCCAAAGTGACATCCTATATCTCCATTAAATGCAAATGATGGGCCACTCAACTTGTCAAATACAGCAAAAGACCGTTAAACAGAGTGTCGTGTTGTCACTAATCAACAGATCATTTAGTGGGAAAAATTCGTTAAATATTTGTCGGTATTAGCATGTTCCTTTCCTCTAAAATAATAAATCAGCAGGTTTGGCAGATTCCTTGCTCTCAGAGTTTACTTCATGCCTTGCTCATTATCCATGTTCATGTCCACCATCTACAATAAAAAGAAATCTAGCCTTGCCCCAGTATAAAAAAAACCTAAACTAAAATTGATCCTGTGCCATGCATCAGCAAGTGTAAGATCACAGTTGACGAATAAATAGTTTTGTAACCATGTCCCTCTATTTTCCGTACCTTCCTATCTTTCTGTACAGATTAAAGGGGCAAAATTGATAGAGGGGCAAAACCGGTACACGAGGCTACCCGACTTGCAAGGATAAAGATAAGTATCAATTTTACATAGCCTTACCCTTGCGTTTCTATAAAGAGGCTATTACCCATACTTGAACCCTTGAACTTCTGGACACAAAGAGCAACCTTAGAGCTGCTCTCACCCTCAGATTAACTGATTGGTCAGTAAAATATTTTCAGTTGTATCTTCTCTCAAAAATGGAAACTAACCTCGCGAAGTGCTCTATAGACATAAAGTAACATATATGTACAAAAATAACACATTTCATTTGGTTTCTTTCAATCTTCGTGCCACTAACTATAAAACTTAAAGATCTTAACTTTACGCATTTAAACCACCATTTTCAGGCTATACATACGATTATAACATAAAACATAGAAAATTTCATAAAATGAAAAATTCAGTAGCTCAGAACACGAAATACAAAACAAGAGGAAAAGCAAGAACCTTGCAAAACTCGGCGAATCGAGACTCAGCTTGGTCGCCGTTATCGACCGGGACAGCTGAAGGCTTGCCATCTTCCATGTTGGACGGAGCAGGAGGACCAATGCAAAAAAACCTAATCGATGCAGATCACCCGAAAAGGAACAAGATTTCGCGCGGAAAGGTCGACGAATTGCAGTGAAATCGACGAGGAAATGCTATATAGCTATAAAAAATCGACAAACCCTAGGTCGATTTTCAGGAACAATAAGAAGAACAAGAAGCTAGTGTCTTCTTTCTCTTGATAGGTTGAAACGGCGTTGCGTTGCGTTATTCTGTTGTTGTGTGTGTACCTTTTTCTTCATTTTTTATATTAATAGCAACATTAAAATATGCTTTTATTAAAAAAAAAATTAAAAGTTATTAAGTTTTGGCGCCACTTGTTATGCCCTACGGGTATTTCCCGCCAAAACGTATTCTTACGTGGATGAGGCCATTTTAGTAATTTCACGACCGGGACTTCGGCATGACTATCTTTTGGAGGCGGTTTTGTAATTGCAAATACAGCTTAAGCGTTAAGGCTCTCTTGTATCTTTCTGTTTTTATTATTATTATTATTACTTTTTTATAAAATCGGGTTTATTATTGGATTTGAGATTTCAGTCTTTGATTTTGAGTTTAAATGTAAGTTGTGCAGATTAGGTATGTTCATCAACCGATCCAAATCGATTCAAATTATTGTAATCGAACCAAAAAAATTGATAATCAAATTAACTGAGAACCGAACAAAAACTTGCATGTTTTAATTGGATTGAATTGGTTTTTCGTTTGATTGATGAAAATCGATTCAATCCAAATTGATGCAATGTATTATATATTTATTATTTTAGAAAAAAATGACTTGTAATCTTGTTGTTTTGTAGACTTAGAATCTTTGATGTTATTGATAGCAAACTATTTTATTTTAGTTTTTAATTCTCTATTAATCTATTTTAACTCGTCACGCGTTCTAAGACTTGTTTTAATTTGAAGAATTAAATTTTTCTTTGATTTGTAACTTTGAATGATTTTTATTGATAGCAAGCTATTTTGTTTTAATTTTTTATTATTTATTAATCTATTTTAACTCTTCATGAGTTTTAAGACTTGTTTCAGTTTGATGACTTGAATTTTTCTATGGTTTAACTTTGAATGACTTTTATTTTAATATAGCTAGTGATTTGTATAACTGAAATCTTAAATTTTTCAAAAAATTAAAAATCGATCCAATCCAAACCGAATAAATTAGATTGTATTGGATCGAATTTTAAAAAAAAAATCCAAGTCGAATGGACGATTAAATAATCAAATCGAAAAGATTGGATCGGATAATTTTTACTTCAAAATCGATCCAATCCAAACCGCGGACACCCCTGGTGCAGATAAAGAGTTAAAGATTGTTTTTTATAAAATTTAGACTTAATTATGTACATATTTGCATTTTAAATGTAAGTTTTGCATTTTAAGTATACATATTTGCAGTTTTATAAATTTAATTTAGTATGCGTTTGGATGTTTTTTTTTTCTAAGAGGAGTTTTTTAAAAAAAAAATAACTTTTGATAAATTTTATGTATTTGGATAACAACTTATAAAAACAGAATTTTAAAAAAATAAAAATAATTTTTTTTTTTAGAAGTCAGGATTGTATATTTCTTAAAAAAATAGGAGTTAAAATTTAAATATTTTTTAAAAAATATAATTTTATCACAATCTCACTCCACCATTATCACATATCCAGTAATTTTATATATATAAAGTGATTATTAATTTAGCATCCAAATAATTTTTTTATTTAAAAAAGTTGTTTATGTGATTCATCCAAACGTTAAATAATTTTAAATATTTTGTTCTAAAAAAAACAAGTCATAAATGTTTTTTTTTTTAAAAAAAAAAAAATAGCCTTCCAAACTTACCCTTAGTATTTTGTGTTTCTTCAGTTCTCTTATCTATTTTATAAAGAAGTATTTATTATGGGTTTGGATTCTTTTGATTCAGAGTTATAGCTGCCTTTACTAGTGATGACGGGTTTTGAGTTCTATCTCCATAACTGATGATTTGAAACTTCCAAGCACTTACTCTTTAGCGTTATATCTGGCGAAATATAAGGTGCTTTTAATGGCTTCTTTTAAATATTGGTTTGATGACTAATGAGCTTAATTCTTCAACAAGGTGCCCTGAATGCCAAGCTGTTTTGGATATTAATGTCACAATGGATATGGGTTTATTTTAATTCTTTTTTTCTCTCTACATTTTAATTCTCTTATTTATTTATTTATTTTCTCTCTCTTATGTATTTTTTATTACCTAATCTTGTTTTCACTTTATTTTATTTTATTTATACTTTTAATTGTTATTTCCATTTAATTATAATATTTTTATGGGTTTATTTTTTCTAAAGTTATTTTAGATAACTTTATCTAAAAAAAAAAACTTTATCTAATGTTCACCGAAATGACATCATTTTAGAGCGAAAATCATGGTGTTTTTGTAATTTTAATTTATTTCAGGGTTATAATAGTCTTTATCATTCTATTTTTTTTTAACCTCAAAACGACGTCGTTTCAATGAACATTAGACAAAGTTATTTAAAGTAACATTAGATATTTTTTTCCTATTTTTATATATCTTTTATTTTATTTCTTTATTTTTTCCTTAATATTTTCATACTTTTTATTTTGGTAATTAGGGATAAAAATATTGTCATTTGCCAATGTTGATATTTATATGTGATATTTCATTTTACTTTTAATTTTGTCTATTGATATATTAAGAGACAAACATAAAGGCTTTTTGACCCTTTTGCCCCTCATTAATTAATTAATAACCAATTTGCCCCTCCCCCAGAACTATCCACCATCCTGCCCCCATTTAGTCGATCAAGTTGCACTTTTAATCGACTAAATGGGCAAAATTCAGAAATCAAGAAACACAAATTTTAGTCGACTAAATATTCACCTTGATCGACTACATGTCGAGCACATTTAGTCGACTAAGGTCATTATTTAGTCGACTAAATATCGCAGAAAACCCTATATCCAGACCTCTCTCGGTCTCATTTGCAATATTTTTGAAATCAAAACTCTTTTTTCTCTTGTTTGTCAGTTGTGATCCTTCCAATCACCCTTCCATTTCATCCCACCATCTCTAAAGCATAGTAATTGTGAAATCATTGTCATTTCCCTTATTTTCTGATTTGTTTCCCCTAAATCTGAACCCAAAACCCTAAAATCCGATTCCTACCCCCAAATTCGTGTGAAAGATGAGCTCAAGTCCAAACATGTATGTTACCATGATTTACTATGATGGAAAGCATTATGAAGGCCCCAACGGTGTTCAATTTGAAGGAAAAACGAAAATGTTGAAAATCAAACGGGGCACTACGTACAATGAGCTTAAGGGGAGGATTCACCAAAAATTGGGGCTACAAGGCAGCCAGTGCGTTCAACGGATGATCGTCAGGGTAGAGTCTACAGTTGGTAAGGATGTTATATTCTACATTGGTAATGATATATGTGACTATGAAGATGTGGAATGTGTCATAGATGCAATTGTGGACCGAAAATTTCAAAACTTTATTGAGATATATGTTGAAATAGACTGTGGTCAATCTTCATCTGCACCTATGCATGAAAGAAGTGAAAGTCAAGAAGACAGAGTGGTCGGTTTATCTGCTCTTGCACCTGTCTTAAGTCAGATAACACTGAGGGAAATAGACGAGGATGAGGATGAGCATGAGGAGGATATGAACAGTGAAGACGATGGTGAACCCGAGAGTGTTATTCCGCTGGGTGACACCTCAGATACGGACGTAGAGGGTAATTTTGACGCTGACACTAGTTCAGGAAACTTGAGTTCCCAGGTGATGCCACCACTCCGTGTTGACCCTGTTAGCAGTGGTATGATAGTAAATTGAAGTTTTAAAATGAATATTTCCTATTTGTGTTATCAATCGTACTGACGGAAAACTCCTGGAATTTGGACGTAGGTTCTGATATTGAGCCGTTTTGGAACGAAAGCGCACATTATTCCTTCATTAATTGGGCTCACCCTAATGATGAGACAGAGATATTGTATGCGACAATGACTCCCACGGCGGCTGGCATTTAGGGGATCCATTATATTTGTACCAGGAGTTTCGAACTAAATCTGAAATGCAACATGCAGTCAAATTATATTGTATGAAGTCTCATCGTACTGCTGTGGTGGCAAAAAGTGATGACCATAGATTTGTGATGAAGTGTCGACACCATATTGATGGTTGTCCCTAGTACGTGCGGGCTATGTCGCCCAAGAATGGAAATACTTGGGTTGTTAGTAAGTGGGGTAAAGAACACACCTGCCTAAACCAAGGCCTTACCCGGGACCATAGATAGCTGGATTCTGATGTAATCTGTGCAGCCATTATAAGTATATATTACGCGATGTTTGGTTTAGGGTTTATGTTTACGTTATTTTTACGGTATATTTATTGACTGTGTTGACTATGATTTTTGTATAGGTATGTTAAAAGAAGATCCATCTCTGAAACCAGTTCTTATTCAGGAGAGGGTACAACGTTTGTATGGATACAACATATATTATAGGAAGGCTAGGAAGGCTAAAATAAAGGCCATTGTGAAGTTGTTTGGCGACTGGGATAAATCATATGTCATCTTACATGGTTGGCTGACCTACATGACACAGATTAATCCTGGTTCTGTGTTCAAGATTGATACGAACGAGTGTTGTGACGAACGACGTGTCTACACCGATAAGGCTGTCTTTCGCAGGGTATTTTTGACTTTTCACCAGTGCATTGAGGCTTTCAAATATTGTAAACCCATAATCCAAATTGACGGCACGCACCTGTACGGGAAATACAAAGGTACCCTCTTGATTGCTACGTCACAAGATGGTGATGGATACATTCTGCCTATTGTGTTTGCCATTGTTCTACCGGGTGAGAGATTGGATGATTGGTTGTGGTTTCTTAGCCTGATGCGTTTCCATGTCACACAAAGGCATGGTATATGTCTAATATCCGATCGTCACTCCAGCATCATCAGGGCTGTAAAGGATCACACAGGTTGGCAGCCTCCATATGCGTATCACGTGTTTTGTCTTCGTCACATTGGAAGCAACTTTAACACTAAGTTTAGGGACGTGGAACTGAAGAAAACGCTGATGAAACT